ATTACATAAAATAATAATAAAATAGAATTAAAAAAAAAAATATTAAAAAATAAGTTTGTATTCACAAAAAATAAAACAAAGCAATTCAGAAATAATAAAATAAGGCCAAATGAATAATAAATATGTTTAATTTTAAGTTAATAAAACGAAATAATATAAAATTAAATTAAATTAAATTTAATAAAATTGAGTAAAGAACAATTTAAAAAAAAAAAATAAAGTAAGAAAAACTTCAAAAATAAGTTAAAAAAAATAAATAAACTAACATATACAAATAGAATTTAATAAAATCAATTAAAAAAAATAACACACAGCAAAGTAAAATATGTGCATTTAAAATTTATATACTTTTCTTTTTGTTTATTGTTCTCACTACACATGCACACTATTTGTGTTACTCAGCGCTAAAGTCATTTATTGCCTTTCTATTTGTGTCTAACAGGAAACTTTCTTTACTTTCACTGATTTATATTTTCCTTCAGTCAACATAACTTATGTCAAAATATGTGATAAGTAATCCTCTTTATTTTTATTAGTATTGTATTTGTTGCACATGAATTGACCCTTTTGACAAAGTTCGTTAAAAGTTGGAGATTATGTACTGCTTAGCAAGTGGACAGCTGGCCAACTGTGATAATTTTTCTGGCAAATTTTCTTTTGATCTAAGGAGAAAAGTATGGACGGCTTTGAATGTACATTTGAATCTTCAAAATACATTTGTATTTGTATGTGGAAAGGGGTTCAGTGAAGGGCTATATGCATTCATCATCTTAGCGTTGCTATTTGGAAGTAAGCAGTTGTTTCTCTCCCCGAATTTGGTATAATTCTCTATACTAGAGCTACGAGTGAAGTGTGTGTCTAGTGTCTCTCATCCGAAATTTCATCGCAGGTACTAATTTTGGACTCAAAAACGAGTAAAAGTACATGTCGTGGAAAGTAGTAAGGATTTTGAATGAAATCTTAAAATACAAAATAGTGTTCGGAGAGAGTAGACAGAGTTATCTCAGTAGTAAGCCAAATAGAGTATGGCATGATAGTTTTCACAATCCAAATTAACAGAAGCTCATATGCATGGTGCTTTTTACCTGACATTGGACCCTTTGAATTTGGAAAGACATTTTAAAAACCCACTTTAAGCACATATTGGAAATGAAATATTTGTACCTCTGTTAGAAACACCAAAAACAAACTAACAAATATGCAACGAGAAAAATATTTTTAATTAATTATCTTCACAACAACCATAACTACAAAGTGCGGATGAAATATGTGCAGCTTTGATAACAAATTAAATTAAACTCTAAATCATAATGAAATATGAGCAGAGACAGAGAAAGGGACAAAGAAAAAGGAAGAGAGACGACCGTTACTAAGAAAATCTTTTTTCCACCAAGAAAGTAGAAGCCAACGCTACAATTTGCCATACTTTACATAGTTTAGCGCCGGCAAAATTAGAAACGGCAGCGTAAAAGGGAAGTGTAGTAGAAGGATAATCGCACGAGGATAACGAAAGTGGTCAGAAAGAAAGTAAAAAAAGCTGCACATCAACTTTAGTACAAAACACAGGTGGAAAGATACTCAAGCAGACGACTAACAACGCCAATCAACATTGCTTATGGTGCAGAAAGCACAAAAAGAATGTGACAAAGCCCTTCAGAGAGGCATGCAAGTAGCTGGCCGACAGCGGAGTTAACAACAAATCACAAAACACTGCTTCCACACGGGCACAGAAGCTCAGAGACTGTAGCTATAAAATGTGGCCAAGTGCAATCGCGCCATTGTGGCAACCAGCTGTGCGGCAGCAAGAACAGCGGTGCAGACGCCGACACTACCGACGACGATGTTGATGGTGATGACGCTGATGGTGTCGTAGCGACTTGAAAGATGCGCTGAGGGGCAGCAGTGAAATAAAAATTTCAACATAAATATTAAAACAGTCGCGGCAGGGAGAGTACAAACAGGATGGAAGCATAAACTGTGCATAAAAGCCAGCTGCAAACGGTTTAACAAGCAATGTGGCTGGAAGAAACCGACTGAGCAAGATGCAACAAGAGGTGACAGCATGTGGATGGAGAAGAAGAACAAGAATAAGAAGAGGTTAAGAAGTTGAAGAGAAAAATAAAAACACACACATACAACACCATCTTGGCACAAGCGACTTATACGGCCACACACACATACTTACTTGCTATCTATGAGCTTGTCGGTCTGGCCTCCTTGTGCCACAAGCACTGTTGCTTGCAATAAACTTAAATCACGATTAAAAGTGTGATTATCCTTGCGGCGTGCAACAAATCGCTTGTTGCAACAGACAACGACAGCCGCCTGCTGTTGCTGCCACTGCCACTGCCACTGTGCCACGCTATGTGCACTACAGAGAGCCGGTTGAATGTTTGTTGCTGCTCGTAACTGGATTATGCCGCCTATGCGCTGTTGTTGCAAGCGAAAGTTACACTCTCTTTTACTTGTTTCTTCTGTAAACTTAACCGCCTTCTTGCCTTGCAACAACAACTACAATAACAATAACAATAATTGTTGTTGTCTGTGATTTTTGCTCTGACAACGCGCGCAACAGTTCAAATGACACATCATAAAATCATGTGCTTTATATTCGCACTGTTGCATACTACACAGGAGGAACCACGTCCACATGGTGTGTGGGTATATGTGCTTATGTGTTACTTTCTTTATGCGTTTGTGTTAATTTTTGGCGCTTATCTTTTTGTTGATCCAGTCGCTGTGATGCACATACTTTAAGTCTGCAGCCTTAAATTTACGCGATCCCATTGGGCTCATTGGTTTAACGAAGTGAACTGAGCTTTATATCTGAATCTTATTTTTCACAAAGATCTGAGCTAATCTATACATGTTGTGAGTTTAGAAATGATAACCCAGGTGTACAACAATCATTTCTATCACTCTTCTTATCTGACTTTCTCTCTCTTCATCATAGCAGACTTTGGGACTTCATACGATTCAGAATATGGTGCAGGGAACTGATGAACTATCATAACCGGTACGCAACAGAGAAATAAGAAGACTCTTACACCGACATAAGAGTCAGATGGAGGAAGACTCGGCTTCGCTTACTATCTCAAGTCAGCGTTGAAAAGTTAACTCAAAATACTGACAGTTTTAATCTTGTTAGCATTGCCTGCGTCAATTAAGAAGAAACAGAATAATATTGCTACGAAGAAGTCAACAAAATAAGAGAAATTTGTAAGATCTAGAGCGTGATGTCGGTCATAAAGTCTATGGAGAAAGCAAATCTCAGCGCCTTTGTGCGGAATGAAGAATATTATGCCGACAGCATCAGGACGGCTGAACTCTCTACTGAACGTTGCAGTCGAACAATATTATTACTTGGCGTGACTTGCTTGGAAATTACTAAAATTTTCTTAAAGACACAAAACTGTTTTCTCAAAAGCCATTCATAAACATACGTTTTTATATATTTTGGCATTTCCTCCATCCGGGTGATGCTTGCTGCTCTCCATAGGGTCTTAACTCAATATGAATACAAAATTCCAAGAAAAACGCAATGCAGATATTCTAAATGTAAAATATACAATGCAAATAAGCAGAGATAACAGTCAGATGACACTGTCTTCACCGTTAAACATACACACACATATATATATATATATATCCATTACAGACCGCAATGCAAATTATAAATATATAGGCAGTTGGGTCAAAAGCCAGACAGACATATATTTCAATGGAAATCTGGAGAGTATCGTGTGGGGCGCAGACATAAATGAACTCAACTGCTTTTGGGTAGTAAATGAACTGCGATGAAGCTCCTTAAAATGTACTACACCCAAAATTGGTGGATGGGCGGTCAACAATTGTAAATTGTCGCAGCAGGCGAACATATGTGTGTATATTGATGTCAATGGTGTCAAATGCTTGTGTGTGTGTGTATGTGTGTGTGTGTGTTTATACCCCACACTGTTTACGTTAATTTTCACATATCTCTCTCTTTCTCCTTCTCATCTACTGCCTCTCCCAATGGGCGCAACGAATTTTCGTATTGCCAATATTTACTTTGCCATTTAAGATTATCCTAATTGAGAATCTCGGCGGAAATCTACACTGCTCTAAAATTGCGCATAAAAACACACACACTCTCTCACACATGCGAAAAAGCAAATAAATCGAGAGGACCCCATCACACGCACACTCCTACTTAGGCACAAAGGAAATGCCTATTTATGCAGTGAGGAGTGCGTTAGTTAATGTAAAGTGAGCGGGACGAGAGAGCGTGGACACGAGGGACTTGCAATTTACGTTTAGTGTCCATTTGACTGAGTATTTGTTGTTCTGTCTTATATAATTTAATGTGCAGACACACACATATACATGGGATTGTATATTTAGTAACAGGGTGTTTTTGCTGCTATTGTTGTTGTTGTTGCGCAGCAATTTAAACAATACGCATGAAAACGCAATCAATTGATTTGAGCCAAAGCCAAAGCGTCCATTGGACTCAATTCGACACACCCAAATGGTTGAAGAAGTGAATGTCCGAGGGTCGGGCGATGTGTGTTAAATGTTGGCTTTTTATAGCTGCCCATCAAGGATTTGTGCAGTGGGCAGAGCTGAGTCGGGTTGAGTTGGGTTTATTTGCGTAGGCTGGCAGGTCATTGGGTTCAAATGGTGTATTTAAGAATTTATTTTTTGCAAAAGATTAAAATTAAAAAACAGCGAGGGGCTTAGCAAAGGCGTCGGAGAGGAAATAAAATAATTTTCATTCCAAAACTAAATTCAGATTGAGGTTAGAGGGTTAAAGTCTGCTTTAATATTATTCTTCGGCTTTATAGGATCTTCGGAAGTCTTCACGCGAGGAACTTTAGAGGATTTGAAAGTCCTACGGAATTCTTAATATTTCGGAAACAGTTCTCAAGAAGTTCTTCTTCTCTTTCGGCTCATATTTAAAAAAAAAATCAATAAATTACGGCACATATGCAGGTGAATATATGTATGTATCTACTCACCTTTATTATGACTGGTGAAGGCGTTATTGTCTGCTTCCAAGACGCTGCTCAATTGTTGTTGCTGTTGTTGCTGCTGCTGTTGTTGTTGCAGTTGAAGTTGTTGCTGCTGTTGTTGGTACTGTAGTTGATGTTCACTTGCAGCCGTTGGTGGGTAATCGTATTGATTTGGACCAACACCACTACTAGCTATAGATTTATACAACAATTGCTGTTGCTGTTGTTGCAAACGATGTACTTGCTGTTGTTGTTGACTCAATGTAGTAGTTGTTGGTGCTGTAGGTGGTGTGTAAGGGTTATTATAAATATTACGCACGTCACTTTGGTTCTGTTGCTGTTGTGATTGCTGTTGCTGTAGCTGCTGTTGCTGCTGCTGTGCATGCGTATTAAAACCGTTCACCGTAAAATGACGTGATTTACCTGGAATAAAAACAGAAACTTTAAAGTAATTGAAGGTTTAAACAATTTTATGGTAGTTAAAATAAATTCGTCATATAAATATAAAATAACTAATAACGTAAATATTAAATAAAGTATGATAAAATGAATGAAAATAAAATGCACGAAAGTGAAATAAACCAAAAACAAAATAAGCTAAGAAAAATATAACACCAAATAAATAGAATATAAATAAATAAATTATGTTGGGTGCAGAGCTCGAGAACCGTAACAATAAGGAAAACACGTTATGATTTAGAGAAGTTTATTCAAAGACTAAAAACATATTCAGTGTTCATTTAATTCAAAGTATATAAAGGGAGCGTTAAATTCAACACAGAGTTGTATTATTGATTACGATCTATTCGTGTTGCAATTCGACCCGACTACTTTTTCATCACTCTCCCTCAACACGAGTAGGTCGTTTACATTGTATTTGTTCAAACCCTAAAAGCTTTACAAACTTTTCATGTTTATTTTTACTTAAATTCTTTTGTTTCTTATTTAATGCTTCTCTTACAAAATGGTACTTAATATCCATGTGCTTGCTTCTGGAGTGGTATATTGGTATATTGGTGGTATTTCACCGTGAATCCTCATTGGATCTTTTGAGCCTTTTACACCATTATCTGCCAACAAACGCCGTAGATACACTGCTTCTTTAGCAGCTGATGCTAATGCGATATATTCAGCTTCCGTACTACTGAGGGCTACGCTGTTTTGACGCTTACTTTCCCACGAAATCGCGCTGCCACCCAAGAAGAATACATACCCAGTGTATGATTTTCGGTCAAGAGTATTACTGCCCCAATCGGCATCCACAACCCCTTCTACTGGTTTGCCCGTATGACGATATACCAATTTATAATTTTCGGTCATAGATAGGTATTTCAAAATATGCTTAATATCTGATTCATGTTCTTTATGCGGATTTTGATTTCTTTGAGCCAGTTTCGCCACTGAGTGTAATATGTCTGGCCTTGTGCAAATTGCTAAATATAATAACGCACCGATAACAGACTGGTACATTTTTACATCAACTTTTACACACGAGTCGCTAGTACACCCAATTTGAAATTCTACATCTAATGGAGTTATCGCCGGTCGACAGCTGGTCATTTTATATTTTTCTAAAATTTCTCTAATGTACAATGGTTGTCCAACTTCAATGCTGCCTCTTTCGCCATATCTGGTAATTTCCATTCCCAAAAAATATGAGATTGGACCTTTATCAACACACTCGAAGCTATTTGAAATTTGTGCTTTGATTACAAGAAGATTTTGCTTCGCTTGACAACTTACGATCAAGTCATATACATATACAGCAATGAGACATAAATTACCTTGGTTACTCATTCTGTATAAGCACTGTTCATTATTGCACGCCTCGAAACCCATTCTCTTCAAGACTCTGTCCCGCTTATGGTTCCACTCTCTTCCAGATTGTTTCAGCCCATATATCGCTTTTTTAAGGTTCAACACTCGGTCAGGAAACTTTTTGTCAATAAACTGTTCAGGTTCGCAGAATCGCTGCCACCTTTTGCTTCTTCAAACATGTCGTCACTATCGTCTGCTTCATTTTCACTCGATGCCTCAGATTCTTCTTTATTTTTTCTACTACCATACGCTGATCAGGGTCATACAAACGATATGCTTTGCTTGTAAGCGAATACCCTACCATAACAAACTTTTTGCCTTTTGGCTGCAATTTATTTTATTTACTTTATTTAGTGCAATAGCTTCTGATCAAAAAATTCTAAGAAAAATTCACAACTGGTTTTCGCCCAGACCATGCCTCGTAAGGCGTCATATTGTCTAAAGCTTTTGTGGGCGATCTATTGCATAAAAACACTGCAGTAGCAATTGCCTCTGCCCAAAAAAATTCACCAAGTTCACTTTGGAGCAACATGCTGCGTGCCATTTCGACGATTGTACGATTTGCCCTTTCGGCAACTCCGTTTTGTTGTGGAGTATACGGTACTGTCAACTGTCTCTTTATGCCACACTCACTCAAATAATTATCAAAGTCTTTATTGACAAATTCACGACCATTGTCACTACGAATCGATTTGATTTTCTTTTCAGTTTGTCTTTCCACTAATGTTTTGAACAATTTAAATTTATCTAAAACTTCTTCTTTAGACTTAAGGAAATACACAAGCATTCTCCTTGACTTATCACCAATAAAATTTAGGAAATAACGCGCGCCTCCCAGTGATTTTGTTCGAAACGGACCACACACATCCGTATGCACTAATCCCAAAATGTCGTTTGTGCGATTTTCTGAGTTCTTCGGAAATGGCTTTACACTTATTTTGCATCTTACACAAACTTCACACGCAATGTCTTTAGCGAATGTTACTTTGTCCATTCCGCGAACCATATCTTTATTAACTAATTCCTGTAGACTACTATAATTTAAATGTCCGTATCGTTCATGCCATGAAATCGCCTTTTCATTAGAATAATAAAAACATTTTTATTTTCACACCGAAATATAAAAAGTTTGTTTACTTTTCTAGCTTTTAGAACTATTTGATTCTTGCACATTATCTTTGCACTGTCTTTATCAAAAGTTACTATAAGTCCATTTTCCACAGCTCTCGCAACTGAAATAAAATTACTGCACATATTTGGCACAAACAAAACATTATGGAGAATAATGTCACTCTCTTGAGATCTTATTCGCACATCTCCTACACCTTCAGCGGTAATGTAATTATCTCCAGCCAAACGATTTTCTTTTTATGCTGCTTCAACATAACGAACAAATTTCTATTGCTACACACATGAGCTGTCGCTCCGCTGTCGAGAAGCCAGGTAGAACTGTCGAACACCTCTGTTTCCGCTGCTGCTAACATTGTAAACGAATGCTCGTTTCTCTTTGATGACCTATGATCGCTCTTATCGCTCTTTACGTTGCAATTCGCAGCAATATGACCGCGCTGCCCGCATTTAAAGCACTTTATGTTATGCATGTTCTTATTTCGCCTATTCGTTGAATTCTCTCCTTTATCGGCGTTCTTTGCCCACACTGCAAAAGCTTGCGATTCCCCTTTATATTCAGCAGAACTGTTTTTTGTTTGCTGTTTTCTTTCTGATTCTTCCAGAAGTTTCGCTTTCAAAATAGTCAACGTCGGTAATGAGTCTCTTGTCTCCATTGCAACTACAAAATATTCATACTGCTTCGGCAGACTTGACAGTAAGATAATTACGACTAATTCGTCTTGATTGATGTGAAATCAGTTAAATATTTCGACATATTTTCACTTTCATTCAGCTTCATATTCAGCAATTTCTTATACAAAGAAACTTTGTGTACAGGCCCACTTGGCTGATGTAATTCTTCTAAAGTTTTCCACGCTTCTGTAGATGATTTGGGAGCGTTAAATTCAACACAGACTTGTATTATTGATTACGATCTATTCGTGTTGCAATTCGACCCGACTACTTTTTCATCAAATTAAATAATATATAAATATATTAAATATTAACTGTTTTAAATCAAAAATTAAATAAAATAAAATAAATTAAAGCAAAAGAAAACTTTTCGAATTTAATAAATGAATTTATATAAAAACAAAAAATAATAAAATAAAAAGATGAGCTGCTATTAATTTTATAAACTATATGTATAAAAAAAAATAAATATAAAGGGAAAAAATATAAGGTTGTCAAACATCTCCCTTCCGCTTTTTTGTCTTTTGAATTTCGCGGCTATGTACAAAGCGCTACAGGCAACACTATACATAATTTGAAAGGTCTTGACATAACCTACAAAACAACGTTATGCATGATTAGTTTGGATATTGCGTTCAACAGTTATAGTCGTGTAAACATTAAGTTCACGAACGCCGAAATGCGCGCTATTTTAAAGTTTTCCTTCGTTAAAGGCAAGTCCGCTAGAGAAACGTTCCGTGAGATTAATGGTGTTTTGGGGGATGGTACTCTATCACTTCGAACGGCGGAGGAATGGTTTCGACGATTCAGAGCCGGTGAAAATGACACCATGGATAAGCCAGCCGTCGGAAGACCTGTGACGACAAATACCGATCAAATCGTGGAATGCATCGAGTTAGACTGGCATATGGCATCTCGTAACATCGCCCAGGAGATGGGAGTTAGTCACCAAACCATTTTGAACCATCTGCAGAAGGCTGGATACAAAAAAAAGTTTGATGTTTGGGTGCCGCATAATTTGACGCAAAAAAAAAACCTTCTGGACCGAATCAACGCCTGCGATATGCTGCTGAAACGGAACGAACTCGACCCATTCTTGAAGCGGATGGTGACTGGCGATGAAAAATGGATCACATACGACAATATCAAACGAAAACGGTCGTGGTCGAAGGCCAGTGAATCGTCCCAAACAGTGGCCAAGCCGGTATTGACGGCCAGGTAGGTTTTGCTGTGTGTTTGGTGGGATTGGAAGGGAATCATCCACTATGAGCTGCTCCCATATGGCCAGACGCTTAATTCTACAATCTACTACGAACAACTGGACCGCTTGAAGCAGGCGATCGACCAGAAGCGTAGTGTAGTGACAACGCCAGACCACACACTTCGTTGATGACTCGTCAGAAGCTACGGGAGCTCGGATGGGAGGTTTTATCGCAGCCGCCATATATCCCGAACGTAGCACCAAGTGATTACCACCTGTTCCTGTCCATGGCGAATGCCCTTGATGGTGTGGAGTTGAACTCAAAAGAGGCTTGTGATACGTGGCTGTCCGAATTCTTCGCAAATAAGGAGGGGGGTTTCTACGAGGAAGAAATTATGAAGTCGCCGTCTAGATGGAAATAGATCATCGAACAAAACGGCGCATATTTTAACTAAATCCGATCACTGTAACACTTTTTATAAAGCATTGAATTAAGAGCAAAAAAGCGGAAGGGAGATATTTGACAACGTTTATATTTAATTTTGAATTAACACTAAACGAAAAAAATTAAAAAGTAAAAACATATACTAAAAAATTAATT